TTAAATATTATGTTCCATTTCTGTCTCCTAAATGGTACACACTGGACCTTTAAGATTCAAAGTGACAAATAAGTCACATGCTTGCATGTATGTCATGATTAATTCAGTAAGCCGCCCATCGCACTCAATTGTTGCATTTTGTTTTGGTCTGGTCTGGTGTTTCCGTTTTTCATGCACAAATTGAAAATGTTCATAAAACTGGTGGATGGAAACACACTTAAGTGAGCCTGCCAGTCTACCAGCAAACATATGACATTATTTTATGTTAACATAACTTTTTTAATTCAATTTATTTAATATCAAATTAATAGACAATGGCAATTATAAATACTCAAAGTGTTTGAATGTGTGCCGATAGGCATTTAAAAGAAAGAAAAAAAACTACAGGAAGGGTTTTACCTCGGCAAAATTATGTTCTTAATGAGTGGGAGAGGTCTTGTTCTCCTAATGTCTCTTTGTCCACAAATGGATCTGTGATTGTCAGTGATAACAAGGTGGCATTAGCTTTGCAAGGTCTTCTAGGTCTTTTACTGTAACACAGAATTTAGAAGTAAGGGCTAGGCTGATGAAACTCTATGACAGTACCTCCTCGTGCACAAAAGGTAAAAAATGCAGCTTTAAAAACAGTGTTGGCCCACATTATTTTTCATTTTACAGCTTTTTTTAAATGTTGTTTTATTATTACTGTTTATCCAGCAGTCATAGATTTCCATTCCCTCCGATATTGCATTAAAATCAATTAGCAGGCTGAAATGTGTTTGGGTTGTGTAGGATCATCAATAATATAATCAATTATAACATCTGTCAGGTTTTATGAGTGTGCCACATCATTTTTTTATATGGAAATGGCAAACAACGGCTGCCATGCAAAAATCTAAAACACAACAGCATGGTTTACAAACTGATTATTAACTGTCATAGTACATTTGAGGTTTTAGTAAATGGAATAAAACATGCAGAACCACTGTTGGTACTTTTGGGGGACGCAACAAAAATAATATATTTTACATATTTTAGACAAATGAGGCGAGAAAAATCACACACATGTGCTCCGGACAGGATTAAAATCACTGATCAGCACATGCAATATTAAAGCAGAACCTCCCCTGAAATAAATCCTGTCTGAATGAGGCTTTAGCCTGTCTGAGTCTGAGGTGATGGAGGTGAACTGCTGCCAGGAAACATTTTCAGATCGTCGCAAACACACAGCAACAACCTGAACCAGAGAGACAACAGATAGAGAAGACGGAAAGACCTATATATAGATCTGGTAGTCGTTGAACTTTGTGTTTGTGTGTGTGTGTGTGTGTGTGTGTGTGTGTGTGTGTGTGCGCTGGTGAACACACAGCTTCAGTGTTTTTTTTCCCCTGCTGGGACTCTCAGACCAGCATGAGTAAGCAACCGGTCGGATTTACAGCATATTGATTAAATTAGCATTCGTTCCACAACCTGAATATTAACTCATCCAACACACGCACACACACACACACACACACACACACACACACACACACACACACACACACACACACACACACACACACACACACACACACACACACACAAGCTTACAGTAGCATACACCAAGAAGTGATTAATTTCTCCTCAGAGAAAGAAAATTGACTCTACAGAAAAAAAATGTCTGTCATGAGGCCTGAGGAGCATCTGGTTTGTAGGTCGGTGACAAATGGAGGCAGGCAATGATCACCCGTCCACTCCCTGAGGAAGAAAACGGGTGTGTTTTTTTTTTAACCTTTTTATTTCTCCAGGGAATATTGATCAAGCTGTTTTACAGAAACACCCTGCACCACATCAGTGAAGGGGGTTGTCTAGTCTTCTTCTAATAGTACAATACACATGTAAATACACTTGCTGTTCACACACAAAGTTTGACCAGAGCCCATGTCCTGCCTTTCCTTTGTCTGTACAGAAGCTAATACAGCAATTGTCATCCAATTCAATTGTTGTAGAAACACGACCAGTCAGGCAGAGAAAGGACCTACCTGGCCAACCTCTTGTTGATACCGATTTGTAGTTAGGTCGTGACCACATTTAGTTTTTGCTGACATTGTGTGTTTTCCAATGTGACAATATTAACGCCACAGAGAGGTTGCCTTATACCTTTAATAGGCATATGATATAAATACTGATATGCAGACTTGATAAACAGTTCTCATTTACACTGCGCAAATCCAGTGAAGACATCTTGGTTAAACTATTGAAACAACCTCATTAACATTCATGAAATACCTTTATATACCCGCCTAGCAGGGAACTAATGATGTGCTCTAATGAGGCTTTCAGGATCATTTGCACAACTTCATTGTTTCCTCTCTCTTTTCCCCCTTTTCATTCAAAACTTCTGGTGTCTATCATTTATGATTTCTATGCTGTCATCCACAATTTAAAAAGTTTTAACTCTAATTCTCCATTTCTAATGAGTAACCAATCTGCCCCCCTCCCAGTATTCTAGACACCAATCATTTATTGGATCTGATCTTTAAAGAAGCCATTTCTTTTCTTTTGCCACTTGGGGGCAGTAGAACAAGCTGTAAACACAAGACTGATGTATTGTCACCTTATAATGTGGTTATGGTGAATGCGTTGCCCATTAATTTACAGCACACACCGAGCAACATTAGCATTTTAGAGTATTTTTCCATCCACCATATTCACTGTATTTTCTGCCAGTCTGGCACTGGTCCACCTGATGAATGTAAGCCTAGTTTCACTCTCCTTTTAGCTCTGGTTTGGTCTCCACCACCTCCTGAGTAGAACACTCTCTCTCCACTTTGTTCACCAGCTAGCCTGTGCGTGTCTGCTGCTGCAGAGAGCACTGAGACTGAACCATACAGTGCCTTAAGATCAAAACTGGAAATGATCTGTACAGCCGAAGGAAACTGAGTCGAGGGACTATCATCTGTTGGTTGGTCACCACATAGGAGCCATTCTCATTACATTTAAGTCTTCGATTTACTGTTTAAGAATTTGTTTTAGTGCAGCTTTGAATATCTTTCTTTATATCTTTCAAAGCCAAAACATTTTCCATCCCTCTACCTCCCTCAACACCTTCAGTCGACGAGGTTCCACCACCAGTGTTTAGACTCCAAAGAGGATCCTGTCCTGACTCAGTCTTCATGGGAGGACCTATATCTATCGTTGATAGTTATTAAGGAAAGGAAAGCCAGCGTCATTAAGAAAACCTGTGGCAAGCAAAGACAAGCTGGTGAAGTTATTATGTCTCTTGTCGATGGTGTAAAATTTGGTTCACATTTTTGTAAAATAAAGTGATAATTTGCTCCTGCTCCCTTATTGTTCCTTCCTTCTACAAGGATAAGAGAATGCAACCCTTCGCCATAAATTATATCCCACAGTCTCCCTGCACTTGTGTTGAATGTGGACTGATGATTTAACTTCACCAGCTGCGCTGGTGGGACTTACACCACGAGAACTCACTTTGTCCACATGCACAGCGTGTAGAAAATAGTTTCTCGATGACTTTTCCGGCCTGACTGAATTTTCCCAAGGCAACATGAACGTCTATCTTGAAATCAGTTATCCGTGCCCATCTGCTGCTCTTGGCAGGTTTAAAGCAAACAATCAAACTGAACATGATTGTTTTCGAAGCCTGTGTGTGCCACAGAGAACCGGATGATTTCAGAGAACAGCAGAGCTTCAACCTGAGAGGGCGGAATTAATCAGATGTCTCACCTAGACCGAGATTAGAATGGTCCTACATATTTGTTTGAGCTGGTATGTCTAAATCACACACCTTGTTGTACTCTTATTGTAATTCAGCTTCTCTAATTTAGACATATTGTAAGACTGCTCTCTGACAGCAGCATGGACAGTAAGAATAACTCAGAATAACTGATGACCAAAGGGAAAGTAAATATCTGGACACATATTTACTTTATGTGGAGCAGGTGGTGCAACTGAATACAGAGTCATTGGTAAGACTCAGACACAGATATGCTCTTGGTGGGACAAATTACAGTGAAGATGCATCGATGTGAGTCAAAAAATGTTTCAACTTGAGCAAAAAAAGGCTTGTTTTTCCAGAGATTCCATAGGTCCTGTCGCCAACAATTTTCAAACCCAGATAAATCTGTAATTGTATTCAGGTAATGGTGCATTTCATTTGGTCCCCTGTCAATGGGGTCATAGCCCCATTACTCCCTATGGTTGCTGTAACTTCCAGGGAGATAACAAGAAATACGTCAGAGAGTGAGGGAAGTTGGCTAAAAGTAACATAACTAAAACTAATACATTACCTTGTTCCTACATCTTTTGCCATTGTTTTGACATGAGAGACCATCAACATATATAAAGATGGATGACATGACAGCTCGCCAAAACATCCATTCCAGATTAGGGAAAGGCAGCATTGAGAGGAATATATATTTGAAGTTGAAGTGAATGCAGTTTTTTACTGCCAGTCTTTGTGGGTGATTATGCTTTACTTATTCAGTAGTTTAAGCAAACTGAAGCAAACTGACCAGATGTTTGAGATGTGTGACCTGTGAGTCAATCACTGAAGTGTGTTTTTACTGTACTGAAGTGTAATGTAAACATCATTCATATATTAAATATTAACATAGACCTATTATCTATATTTATACATTCAACATATACGTGCGTTTTTACTTTACTTGTATGTCGTGTCTAAATGTGCATGTTGTGGTGAAACTGAATCTCTTCCTCTGCCTCCCTCCTCCATTCACAGCTTCCCTTGCAGCTGTAAGATGTGATATAATACAGTTATCACCATGGAGATCACTTGGAGATGGACCCTCTCTGGACAATGTCAAGAGTCTCTGTATCTCTCTGTCTGTAGATTTGATTCCAGGCTTGAGAGCTGCTGAGAGCCAAAGCAGATGGACGGCTCCTAAGCGCCTGCACCACCATTTAAAAAGACAAATTCAAGGGCAGGATTTTCAACAGTAAAGAACAGTGGGAATGCTAAATGACAAAGCTTACAGAAACACCAGCTCAGCAACTTTGTGTTAGCAAAAAGACCTTTAATCGGACCATTATTTAAACAAGAAAGAGCACTACTTGATGTAAAGCTGCAATATACACACCTTTTCCAGTGAATTCAACTAAACAGCTCGTGGCAGGAGGTTATGCTGATCAAGTGTGGAGACGTCATTCCAACAAGAACAAAGGCAGAAACCAGCAATAAAACACAAAAGCTAATCCTGTTTAGGTAAAGTAAGCTGGAGAATATAAGCAACATTGGGGACTTCAATATGAGGAGATGTGTGGGCTTCTCAAATAACATTTAACCAATCTGGAGTTGGTGGAAAATCAGACAAATTGTGCTTTAAGGTTTATTAGATTTCTTGCTGAACATGAATCCTGTTTTTCATGCACCATTCAATATTTTTCAGTGAGTTTGAAGGACTCAGCAGTTCACTAGCTGATGACAAGTTTTCAAAATAAAATTCAACAGTATTTTTGTTTTGACTGACATTGCCTGTAAAAGCAAAGTGCCTTAACACTGGTGACATCTGAGGGGTGTCCAGAGTCCACCCTGTGGATCGGTTTCCTTTCAGGTTGGATACATTTTGTAACTGTATATTCTGCACTGTTTATACTGCTTTACTTAGATAAGCTAGTTAGCTTGCTAGCTTTACTGCTAGTAATATAGTGTTAGGCAGTGTTTCTGCCTGTAAATGCAGCAACATATGAAAGACGTTTGCTCTGCCACTTTCTGGTGAGTCCACTTCTAAAGCTTAGGTTCAGGGTGGATTGTCCCCGCACCCATATTCCGTCCTGCCTCTGTTTCGCTCTGACCCTGACTGTTTTTCAACCCTAACCATCTCAATCCTCATGCCTAAACCGAACCAAACAAACTAACTAGCCAATCAGAGGCAGAGTAGGGCGGGTCTACGCAGAATGACGGGAAAAGTAATCAAGTGTTACAGGTGTTTAGGGGTGCATAGACCCATCAGGAAGTGGGAGAATGCATGTGGACAAAAATCACCAGCGCTCAGTACTGGCGAGTACTGGCCCATTTCAGGCACTAGTTTTAAAGAGACATTGTGTAGGAATTTCTCCCATCTAGCAGTGAAATTGTATTTTGCATTCAAACGAATAGTGCTCTCTAGTGCCTCGCGTTTTCAAATGCGTATTGCAACTACGGTAGCCGTTATGTACCAAGAAGCCTACCTGTCGAGGAGAAAGCAGAAAACTTCAGCGTCCCTTTGAAAGTCTTTCTCCTTCATTAGCTCTTTCCACCTGGGAAAAGCTACCCCCATGTTTACCCTCGTTTTTTGAATTCGCCGGTCACGTTGCCTTTTTAATTCCCTTTTTCGCTTTTTTGGCGACGAGGATTCCTTCTCCTGTGGCTCGGCATAAGTATGATCCTCCATTATTAACTAAAGTGCAGTGCAGACTTTCAACTGTGCCGGGGCAGTGACAAGCACCTCTCACTGATCTCCTTCTCCGTTATAGTTAGTTTCAGTCATGTGACGCTGGCTCTGAACGAAAACGCGTTGTGGATTAGCTAGACAGGTAGGCTAGTGCTTTATGTCCCTCTCAGCGATTATAGTTTTTCAAAATGGCGGAACGACATGGAAGCCTCCATGGACTTGCCCGTCCAATGTATATACAGATAAGAAATTCTTCGCTTATGAGGATAAGTCAGATCATTGGCAGAGGTAATTTTACACCACATTTATGAATGAAGACATTGATTTTAGCTAATAAAATACTTAAAACACTACACAATGTCCCTTTAAGACTAATTAGTAGTAAAGCACAGCAGTGCTAGTCTGGTCTAGGTGTAACAGCCAAAAGTCCAAATCAGTTCACCTGATGTTCCAGAAAAAACATGCACTACAGACACACAACAAAAGAAGCAGGTTTAACGTCACACACATTCTGATAATGCTGGTGATACATGCTGAAGAGCTGTATTTTGTGACGTTCATTTGTTCAGAGAACTCTAAAGTCTAGGTGCTATGGCCCCACAAATGTTGAATAACTTTAACAACTTTTAATAGAATGAATGGGGCGCCATCTTGGAACCGACAAGTCCTCCAATTTAAACGACAAACACGCTGTTTATAATTACATAAAATATAAAATTATAACTTTTTTTGACCCAATGTACCTATTGACAGGATTGTTTGTCAGTCTCTTGATCTCACAGTGCTGGTTAAGGTTTGGCCAGGTTCAGGCACAAACACGGCTCGTTTAGGGAAAGAGTACTAAAATAACTGCTTGGTCAAGCTTATACATCTTGGTTTGGGTTACAAAGTATTTCATTAACATTAGGGGGCCATGTGGAGTCACAGAAAATATGTCCAGTAATCCCTTAATTGACTGACATAGATGTGAAAGTATTCTGGCTCTACAGCTGTTTTTCCTCTCACTGGTTCCTCGGCTCAGAGAGTGGACTGTGCTGCTGAACGAGAGTCTGTCACTGGGAAGCGGCTCTCACTCCTTCTTTGGAGGCAGATTGACTAGTTAGTATTTAGCTTGAACAAAATCACCATTGCAGACCATATTTTCTCGAATGCCACATGTACAACAAAACCCCTTCCCCCCTACTGCTGAAAAAAATAGTCGAAACATGAAAACAATAGAGGACTCACTGCTTCTGATTGGGTGTCTGTTAAAACTGCATACTGGAACATCTTACAGTAAGCATAGTCATCAGTTTAACCTGCTCTGAATCAGTGTGTAAAATGTATTAACCAGCTGGTAACCATAGCAACGATACAGATGCGTTTTGTTGATCCCCCTTATCTTTACTTATAGCACCAGTGGGACATCTGCCTTGATTTGATTGGTTCAGCTCCTTTTTATAGTCTACTGTAATAAAGTATTATTCAATTAAATTAAAGTCTATTAATGGTACTCTACGAGATAATAGAGCTGAGGGTTAAAACATCTGTGAGCATGGTCTTGTAGCTTGGGGAGAAAAGAGATGGAGACAGAGATTGAAAGAGAGAGGAGAATGAGAAGGAAATAAGGTCCAGTGCGTCCTAGAATAGAAAAAGAAAATCCATTTATTCTGAGAGGCCTGTGGGGCTGGAGGTAGCAGGAGTCCACTGTTACTCCACACACACACACACACACACACACACACACACACACACACACACACACACAACTCTCTCATCCTACTGGAGAAAATGAATTCTTTTCCTCCTTTTCCTCTTTTTCCCCTTTTACCTTTTTGCCTCTGTCAGTGCAACCACCATAACTCCAACCGGGGCACAAATCCCATCATGTACACACACACACACACACACACACACACACACACACACACACACACACACACACATATAGAGTCACTCACCTGGTCACCTGCCTGAGGGGTTGTGATGCTGTTTCACTCTTTGCAGGGGTCTCTGTTTCCTGTCTGCCCGGCCACAGAGAATAGGAGGCCATCAATAATCCTGCTGGGGGGGGCACAGCAGGGGCAGAGGAGAGCAGAGCAGAGCAGAGGGAAGAAACCAGCAGAAAAAGGGGTAGAAACAAAGAGAAGAGAGGAGAAAGGGGAGCAAAAAGAGGAAATTTAAAACGAGGCTAGAGAGAGAGACGCACACCAGAAGAAGAGAGGAGAGGGGAGGAAGCAATGTGTGGAAACGAGAAAGGAAAGGAGAGAAGGAATGAAGGAAGTGGAGGAGAGCGAGGTAACGGGAGAAAGGGGGAAGGAAAGAGGAGTGGAGAAGAAAAATATCAGATCATAAAGGGAAGTGTTATGACCCTGTACGCAGATTTCTCTTAAGGCCGGTCATAAGAGAGAGAAAAAAGGGTGAGGACAGGAGAGAATATAAGATGAAGGCCACGGGAGAGGTGAGGAGAGGAGAGAGGAAAAAATAGGAAGCAAGGAATGTAGAAGGGATGGAAAATAAATAAGCGAAGGAAATGGGAGAGAAAACAGTGAGAGGAGAAAAGAGAAGGAGAAAAAGAGGAGGGAATGACTGGCAGGTAAGACTGAACATGGTACAGACGGTGCTTCATTAAACCTGTTTGCACTTCTGATGACCATCTCTGACAATATACATGCCCACACAGCAATTAACCTTAACCCTTAACCCAAAACTGAACCCTTTAAAGAAGTTAGGACCAGACAAACTGTGTCCTTAATGTCCAATCTGTCCAAGGTATAAAACTCAAACTGCTCCTCACAAAGACAGAAGTACAACAGCACACATAGGGGAATAAATAAGGAGACAAAGTTAAATATCAGCTCTTTTTCATCCCCTTCATCATTACGCTCTGTGCTGAGTTGATTCTCCCTCCTTCCCATTTCACCTTAAATCCTTCTCTCCCTACTCCCCTCTGTTCCATCTGCTTGTCTCACCCAAACTAAATCATTTTCCTCTTCTTCCTCCTTCATTTTTCCTATCCACCTATCCCTCTGTCCCTGTCAACCTATTTCCTTCCCTTCTAATCCGCCAACCTTCAAACCACCTCTAAACCTTCCTCCAAAGTCCAGAAATACCTTCTGTTCTCCTCCACCTACTGAAATATCACATGCCAGCACTGATTTTACCCTCACCTGAAATTCACACTAGGAAAGTCATGTCAGTGGAGAGTTTCCACCCACGTCAATATACATTTTCAGTTCAAGCATAAGAGACCATGAAGGGAAATATCACCACATTTTTTTGAGATTGGCTGAGATAGAAAAAAAGATGTCAAAAGTATTTCTGAAATTATACTTTTACTTGGACATTCTTTCTTCTGCTTCCTCTCCTGTAGATAACACATTCATGTTAAAGTCCAGGTGAAATGAAAAATGCCATTTGAACCCTTTAAGATCCTCTGTTATATTGTACATGATCAAAGAATGTCAAATAACTCAGTTTCTTAGTATTTTCACATCAGAATCTGGTAATTGTGTCTTCCTGTAAAACAACATGTGACATGTGCTGACATAAGCAGGAACTAACTGATTTAGTATTACAGATTACTGTACAAAGACAAAGTGTTATCGCTTGTAACAAAAGCACAACTTTACCTGTAATTTGGCTGAAATTTGATTATATTTAATATTGTTGCTCTGCCTCATCTCTGCTTACTGCTAATGTAGCTGCCGTTAGCGTGCAACAGAATGGGGCTCAGCAGCCTCCCAGTGAACACAACCTCCGAGGCAGATGGAGGCCAGTTTGACGACAGTGCTAAAAGAAGCAAACTGTCGCCAAAGTAATGTTAGATGGTGTTAGTTTGTGCAGCCAATGTTAGACAACTTAGACCTGGGGTGGCGGGAACCAAAACCGGCCATTAAACACCTCAATACTTCCGCAACAAGTCGATCTGTAGCTGCCCAGCCTATATGTCAATGAGCGGAACCAATAGCACTCTGATTTCTGTTTTACCTGGACTTTAAGATGCCACCTACCATCTCTAGACAACTTGCCCAATAATAATGACTAACAATGACTAAAAAGGAATGTCCACCTCTCATTTAACATAAATAGTACCACAGTGATACCAAATGAATACATTTACTTAAGCACTGCACTTAAGTATGGTTTGAGGTACTTTACAACAGTATTTCCATTTCATGCTACTCTGTACTTCTGCTCAGACACATTTCAGAGCCAATTAATGTACATTTTTCAAATTTTTTGACAGTTAGATACACTGCAGATTAATATATATTTTATATACAAAGTATAACATAATTTCATTAAGTATGATACATTTTGTGTAGATTAAACTATCCAATCTTTATCCAAAGTAGTATCGACCAGCTACAACATTAAAAAGCTACTTCCATATTAAGATTAAAGGTCATAAAATCCAATATATATATTTGTATAATACAGTATATGACATTATAACACTGAACTGGATTATTCTCCAGTGCTTTTATTTTTTATACTACATTTTGCTGATAGTACTGCTTTTACTTTTGCAAACTTGAATGTAACCATTTACTTTTAGTGGAGTATTTTTATGTCTTAACATTTGTCAGTCATTTCAACATCTGGTTTGTGTTGAGCCCTACATTTTAAGACAGTTGCTGGTTGTAAGATCTCTGTTGGTTTGTTACATTTGAAAGCACTGCACTTCCAGATGACTGTTTCTCTCTTGCTGGAAACAATGAATGTTGATGTGTACATTTAACTTGTCCCTTCAATCATGTTTATTGGCCAACATGTTTCATAGCACCTTCAGGCCAACCTTTTATTGCTGACACTGAAAGTCCAGTTTGCCATCTACCACATACAAACGCAGTGCCACTGCAGCCTGAGACGGATCATTTCATTTCTTTTTAGTCCCTTCTGGCTTTTGCGTCTGATGGGATCCTTTTTAAGGACACTTTGGAAATAATTACCCATCTGAAAGGAGAACTGAATTCTTCCCCTCTGAAGATCCGTGTCTATCCACGTGTATGACTCTGTCTTTATATTGGATCACATTGAGTCTCTTGTACTCTTTAAACCATGTGAAGGACCACTAATTGCCTTACTATGGTCTTCATACTCTGGAATTGTGAATGTAAATGAGTAATAATTGTGAAAAGTATTTATTTTCATTATTTTTTTACTTTACTTATATATATACATGATTATATATTTTTTACAGTGTTGTGCCCTTTATGTTGTTGTATATCATTGTTGTTCTCTTTGTAGCCGAGATACAGTTTTTGCCAGTAAATTTGAAAAAAGATTAAATAAATTCACCTGACCTGCATGCCTTTATTCTGTGATGGGGCAACATTAACTACTGATCCACCAAGCTTTTCTGATTAACTGACGATGACTTGTTAATTAAAATGAATTGTCTAATTAGCTAGAATTGCATTTGCAGTCTCAGTAGTGCAATAAAAGTCCTCACATGACAAGTTATCAGCGCCTCCATGCAGTGGGGGCCATAGGTAAGAAAAGGCCCATATCCAGCTTTTGGCCTCCAGGGCTGGCAATATTTACTGTTTCAGAAACCCCAGGTGAGCTGTTTCTTGGGGACCAGAGGTTGTAACAAAGGCCCGTCTCAATATATCGGTCTGTGACGGTGCAGGAGATTCTGTGATGGAAATAGATCGCTATCAGTGACTAGCAGAGGTAAATTTGGCTTTAGACCCAAAGGACGGTCAGGTTTAGGAATGAGATGGACAATAAATCTTGATCTCGGGAGGAATGATAATGACCTCTTAAAAATGGCTGAAGTTGTCCCATTTATCATGCGGCTAAACTCCAGTACTGATGCAATAATTTTCAATAAGGTAGAAAGAGATATATATTGTCATCATTTTACACACACACACACACACACACACACACACACACACACAGCTTCTGAATACCTCCAGAGACAGAAAAAAAAGAGGCGATTAGGGAAATGAACTATATATGGGCAATTTGTCATATTACATTAGTGATGTGAGGTAATATGAGATAGTGTTAGTAAAATGATTAACCATAAAACACAGAGGAGTCCTAGTCTGGATTAGAGAGCGGTAGACGGACCACGTTGGCACCACTATATCCTGGACCTACTGACACATTGGAGACGGGAAGGAATTAGGTCAGGGCTCGAATGTAGAAGGTAATAGATGGCTACAGAGGAGATTTATGTGCGACACCCTCTCTCTAGAGAGAAATAGAGAGGGAGAGACAGAGAGAGAAAGAGAGATGGGAGGTTGGTATTGGAACTAAATCAGACTGTCAGTTGGTGCGGAATTCTTCCTGAGGCGACAGAGGGAGGGAGGGAGGGAGTAAGAGGGAGGAAGAGGGATGGAGGGAAAGGAGAGCAGAGGAATGGAGAGAGAACTGGGACATGGAGAGGGAGAAGAATAATGATGGAGGAAGCAAAGAGGCTGAAAGAAAGATCGGGGTGGTGGAGTTCATGGGGCAGAAAACGGCACAGCAGAGATTGGGAAGCTTTTAGATGATGTAACTTACTCTGTGGTGACAACGGAGGAGGAGTTATTTCAGGCGTCCTGGGTTCCTGAAGTCCAATTCATTTTGTACATAGACAAAGATAGTTGAACATGTAACTCTCCTGGTTGAATCATCCGCAAAAAAGATGAACAAATGTGTTAAAATATGTGTGGCTCTCCCGATAAAAAGTCAAAGGTACAAGGCAGCGGTGGGAATTAGAGCTTTGAAGGGAGAGGGATCCCATGGCTCTGTTCCTTTTCAAAAGCCGCTCAAAAGAATGGCTTGTTCATGTTTCTTGGGCTCTAAGTTTATCTTCGAAATACTCACTAGGATAATGATAGGGTAAGGTCTGTTGAAAATAATCAAATTGTTCACGGATGTAGCATCACTAGTACGAGGATTTGTACATAAAAACTGAAATAAAGGATGTAAAAGAAGCCTTTTGGTGTGAAACATCCAACCAAAGAGCTTCAAGTTTAATTGCATGCACCGTAACGGCAAGTCGTTCAGATTTAGATAAATATATGCAACTATAGCGATATTTTTTCTTCACAATTACAACATGAGGAGGCTTTCTGGATTTGCTACACCAGTGTTTTCGGCAAACATTTTTGGTAGACAGCTGTCAAAGATGAGGACAACACCTGTTTGAATAACAAACACAAAATACAGACATTATGAGGATTTCTGTACCATTTTTACACAATAAAGTTCTGCAATGTACCTAGTATTGTCTCCAGATTTTAAAAATGATTAAACATTAATGCTTTGCGAGTGGAACCTGATAAAAAGGTCCCTCGATCAATTTCAGGTCAAGGTCTTCCATGTAAACCCACTCAAGTATTGATCAGTTTTGCAGTAGCCTATACATGTAATCCGATACACTGCATCCCATCCATCATATACAACAAGACATTATCCCATTCTAATACAGTATACGTATTAAAATAAGCAGGCTGTACCACAGATGACTGACCTTCTGCTTCACTCAAGACATCAACATCAACCCTTCCAACCCTCATTGGACAGATGTACCATTCAAATAGCTATTTTATACTTGCATTACAGTGCATTTAAAATCCAAACATAAAGATGTTTATTTTAACGCCAAAGTCACCAATCAGTCACGTATAGAGTTGAAGATGACGGATGGGGATGAGGTTTGATTTGCTGAAGTATCCGGTCATGTCTGTCGCAACTGTTTATCCATCCAATCCTTCCTTTATCAAAAGTTATATAAAAACCTTGTTTGACATGGAAATATTTTAAAATGTATTTGTATTACAGACTTACAGTCTTTTTCACACAGAGAAATATACTCATTTTACTGTTACTCAAGCACATTCTACACACACACACACACACACACACACACACACTAATCAGTGTTACACTTGCGGCCAGTGACCCTTATTGAAGGTTGTGTTAATGATGACTTAAACAAACAGTGTGTCTTTAGCTCCAGTCAATAGTTCTAAACAGCCACGAGTCACATCCCCCATTACAATTAGGTTAGAAATATAAGAACTGCTGCAAATGCACACATTGTCATTATGTGTGTCTGCGTGTGCGTCTGTGTGTGCGTGTACTTGTGCTAATGAAGGTATTGAAATTGTCATTAATGTGTGTGATGACTCAACACTAGGAGAGCAATTGGGTTTATGAAAGGCTCATTGCATCCCATATTTCAGCCTTAAGCAATATAAATGTTTATGTGTTTTCTCATTGACAAGTCCATTTAAAGCAGCTTCCAAAGACCTGACAGGCTATAACTAATTCTCTGAAGCAGCCGGTTGACCAGAGTTACACAGACACACTGTGTTGATACGCAAACATTAGACCTATGTGAGTCAGTGAACATCTCATTTTCCGTTTACAGCATCCACTCTTCTGGTTTCAGATTTTGGGACCTGGCTTGTGGGGATTAACTCTCCGTCAGCCACAAGGGGAAAGAGGTTGGAAAACCATCACTGTAGGGACCTGGCTTTGTTGATGGGAGTATTGTCATGGTGAAACCCTGTTGACTGACATAAACCATAAAAAAACAACCAAAAATACATACATACTGTGCTTCAAACAACCTGTGTTCACGAACACACCACTGTGTGACTGCCTACATAGCAAAGTCAGAACTAGTTATACAGGCGCAAAACCTCTAATGGTGTGTTCAGGTTAAAGATAATTTTAGAGGCAGCATGATTGCATACAAACTCAATGGAAAACGAAACATTTTCAACAAAACAATTAAGATTATACAGAAGCTTTATGATATGAAAAGATATATAAAAAAAAAGATGTGTAACTAGCTAACAGTTACAGCTAACGTCAGTCACTGCATTGGATGAACAGAAAATTATTAGTTAGCAGAAACAAATATGCAACGTTCGGTTACACTTTCATAAAGTGTGCTGAGGTTCAGTTTAGGTGCCAAAAGGTACTTGGTTAGCTTTAGGAAAAGATTGTAAGTTACATCTCGGAAAAATCAACAGTGACTTTTGGTTTCATAAGGGATCTGAACAGTGGTCTCCTGGATGAAAGATCCTGTTTGTTGACCTCCTCCCTATGCAGACTGTCACTTTTTATATTTTTATATCTTTATACACATGTATACTTTTCATGTCTACGCAAAGCTAACATGGTATCCTCTAGTGGATCAGCGGGTCTATTACATGCTTTGGTGGGAGACTGTGCTGCATATGAAGTGTTTTTAGAGCAATAATAAGTGATGTGACTGATAAATGACTATCTTGTCCTTTAACTGTGAGCACTTGTTGGAGAGATACTAAACAGTAGCTTGTGATTCCAGGAGTGATATCCCATTTATTCTGATAAAGTTCTTTAGCAAGGTCTGTAGATTATTCTGAGTGAATGGAACATTGTCTCTGAAAAGAGAAAACATTGAGTTTTAAACATCATGTTGAATGATTTGAATGCAAATAAAATCCCATTCAGCTCCATTGTATGGGGAAGTGGCACAAGTCTCAGAGACGGTTATCTGAAAACCTTAAACTGCAAATAAAAGTAGAAGTATCTGTACAAGTGGAAACCACTGAGGCTAAGTGGTAAAATATGTTTTTGGTGTGATTTGAGAAGCCCTTAAAGGAAATCTCTACATCTGTGTGTGTGGATGTGATAAAGCTGCGGAGTTGGAATGATCTCAGTGCACCCAGTGTTTACTTGGCCTCCATTATCTTTTATTTGTAGGCTGATAGTGTCTCTTGGCAGGGAATAAACGGGCTGTAAATCAGAACTGTATTTGTGCATGGGTATGAGGGAATTCAGACATGCACAAACACAAGCATAAATATGCAGGTGAGGAACACAAATTCAGGCAAGCTCTTTTCTCCCGTTTTATTTTATTGTGAAAATCAGAAAAAAGCTGAAAACATTTAGACTGATGCGTCCATTAGCTGTGCAGAACATGAATACAAACCCACTATGTGAATATGCACATTTGAAAATCAGCTTCACTCCTCAACACATTTGAATATGCAAATGTTTCCCGGCACAAAAAGCCTTGACAAGCTGTTATTACATGATTCCTGTGGGTGCAGACACAACAGCCTGGAAATATATTATAGGAGGCAGAACAAGAGAGAGGAGAGTAGCCCTCGACAGTTGCCGGGGAGATGTGTGCACATTGCCTGCATGCATGTATGTGTGAGTGTTTGTGTGTTTCCACAGAGGAATGTTGTAATGCCAGCTGTCTTTCTTTACTGCTCACCAGAATATGAGCTATGTGCTGGGTCATACTAGTTAAGAAGGGTTTGGTCGCACAGGGCATCAATACATTTGAGGAAATAAATCCTGATCACAACGCAGCTATGACTCTCAGACGTTCATAAGTCACCAAATGCAAGTCCAAGTCTCCAGGATGGTTCTGTCTAAATAGCAATAAATTAGACTAATACCTTACTCATAGGATAAGTAATAAGGAATCATGAGTGTGGTGACTATAAAATACAATACCTAACCATTTCAAAATGAACAGTTAATACAGCTGATATTAAATCTCATGGCTAGCACCTACAAACAATGATGTTAAATTAAAATACAGTCAGTCTTAGATTCTTTTTTCCCACATTTTAGGTAGATTTTGTACAGGACGATTTAAATCTGTTCAGCCTAACGGTTATAATGTCTGTGAAGCCAAAGATTGCATATATATTACTCATGTGTCATTCCAATCTTTTTGAACTTGAATCATCTAAAGGCAATAGAAAGCACATTCAGTATGTAGAACTAACAATTGCTGTTCCAATTTAAACTGGGCGTTGTCACGTGTGTTTGCTTAGAGATTGTTTAGGATTAAAAGAACAACCACACCCAGGCTCATAATGATAATCCTGCTTGTTCTGTCGTTTCATGGTTGCTGCTTGCTCTGTCCACACCCACTGTGCAGTACAGAGCTTATATTTTACAGTTACAGTGTGGTTATGAATATGAGAGACCACACCCAACAGCATGGAGTTCCTCTTTATAACAACATGTAAACATCTCAGCCAAAAATATATACAAATGTAACTGTCTTTCTTTTTTTTTGTGCCACACCAACAGCCCAGACAGTGTTATCACTGAACATAACCGTACAATGCGTAGACATAACAGAGCAACCGTTGAAGAAATGTAGAATATGCACAGTAAAACCTGGTTAGTCTAACTCAAATTGTTTAAGGAAACTGATTGCCTTAAATCATTAAAACATTTTACAATTTAAGCATGTAAAAATATTTGATTTGAGTACAAGTAATTTAAGTATTTGTTAGATAACTTGGGTAAAGTCAATTGTACCAATTTTAGTGAGTTAACTGAACTTAAAACTAGTACACAGCATTTCTCCAAACTTATTTAAGATGTGTTATTTATCTAAATAAAGTAAAACTGCCTTTAATGAATCTTCTATATACAAATGTTACCACTTAAGTTGAATTTACTCAGTTTTCTTCCTCTAAAGCAAATTATTACATTACCTGTCAAAAAAAATGTTTCAGGTCAACCTCAATGAAATAAGTCAATGGAACAAACTGGAATTATATCACCAATGCTTAAAATACTGCACAAATTTTAGTGCTCTAACGATTCATTTTTGAGTTATGTTCATCCAAAGAACAACTTATACTACTGAGAGAAAGTGTGATACTTTAACTGATAACTGATGATAATGCTAGCAAGGTATTCTAGATATAGTATTTATTTATTTTTCCCATTAAGACATTTTTTGAGAACGACAGTCATTCTATTTGTTATTCACATTTTCAGACTAAATACTTAGAGTCCAGTTTTTCAACTTTATGTGTGTCGACTGCAATCGAGCATCCTTGCCGAGCTGTGGCGAGGAAATCGGACAGCAGTGAAGGTCAAATGATAATTTGGAGGAAGAAGCAACAATGAGAAAAGGGAAATGAATACACCTCCCATTTCCTGGTCATTTTGTAAAGGTCAGGGGGAAATGTTAAAAATCTACAGGGAATGAGAAACTGCAAATGGCAGTGGTAAAAAAAATAAAGACTGAATTTGGTTCTTACCTGTCCCGTTTAACTGTTGGCCTTGGGCTTTGTGGTTTTTTTTAAACTATTTTATGAGGTCAAATCACCAAAGATCAGCTTGAATTTAATCATCAGATTCCAGGATCAGTTCTTATCAAGTGTAATTCATGCATGCTGTTCCCGTGACATTGAACAGGTCAGAAAGTTTGAACCACAATCTCAATCAATTTTACAAAGTTACAAAGTGATGATAGAAGTGATGTCATGCTATGGGATGTTTGGATCAATGAGCAAAAAAAAAAAAGTCTTCAGATACTGCCCTTAAAACATCACAGATTAAAGCTCCAGCCTTCATCTAGTTTGATATTTAATATTTAGGAGTTTATGTGAACTGTAGAGAGACTAATTAAAGAGTTTATTGTACCCTTTAGTTGAAATTTAAATAGCTCCAAACCAAATAATAAAGCCTCAAAGGAAATATATTTATTAAGAAGTAATTGAGAAGCAATTCACAAACAGGAGCATTTTGATGTTGTGCAACAAGATGAAATCCAAAAGGTAAAAAAGCTTCAGGTAGCCAGCTCAGACCCTGTGAAGTCTTCTGAAGACTCTCAACAGCTCAACCTCTCAAGGTCGTTTTTTGATTTATTGCTTGTTACATGCGTCTTGGAGTCTTCCATATTAATGACCAGCATTATGTTAATGGTGTCATAAAAGAATACTCTGCACTGCAGGTGTCTATCCAAAGCAACTTCAACAACCTTCATCATCATGAATATTACTCCATGAACAAAGAGCTCCTGAAATGTGTTCGCTGAAGGGGTGGACAAACATTGTGATTCCTGGGCTAATTATTAACCCAGTCTCCTAAAAATCAGGTTTATGTATTACTGAACGAGAAAAGGATCATAGTTCGTAGCAACCAAGATGACGATCTTTCCCTATAAGTGCTTTGAGCAAGCTTAACATGAGCAACAACACTTATACAGTAGTTTCCATTACCAGATTTTCAAATAAAGACGACTATGTTGTCGGTTTTGTTAATATGTTGATTTAAAAAAGTTTCCTCATGTTGATAAAAAACCCTGATCTCTGTCTATATAAATGTTATCTTTAGGAGATCGGATTGTGATGACTTGATTTGGATCTACACTTGATCAGACCAAGTATGTTTTAGTCTGGTCATGTGCATGTTGAGATAAAATAACCAGTATATGTTGTTAAATGATACCACTTGTTTGTTTCCTGAATCTTTTAAAGGTCCAGTGTGTAACATTTAGGAGGATCTAATGGCAGTTTTCATTAGTGTAAAATCACCTGACTATAGGAATTGTTATCCTCTTATTACAATTATGAGCCGTTTATATCTACAGATGCTGCAGGATGCCTTCCATGGAGTTTGCCATGTTGCACTGCTATGTTTCTAACATAGACCAGAATGGCCACCATAGTTTCTCCTTTGTGCCTGAAAGGAGAGGGTGAAGCGATGGAGTTGCACAACTACACTGCTAGATGCCACTAAATCCTACACACTGGACCTTTACATGTTTCATTTAAACTGTTTGAAGGACTGTCATAAAGCTGAGAAGTAATAATGACAATAAAAAAAACTGCCCAAAATGGCAAATGACCACAAGGAAAAGAGTTGTATCTTATAATGAATCTAGATTTCAAAGCAGGGCTTCTATCAGTCTCTACAGCGCCTCTTGACCACAACTCTTCATCCACCTTTTCACCTTTTTTTTTTTTTACAAGGTTAACTTAAATAAAGTAATGTTAAAGTGTGTATATTTAACATTCTTAGATGGTTACAAACACAAACACACACACACACACACACACACACACAAACAAACTGACTCCCATTATTTACATGCTACAGTGCCTTTTTCATTGGTGCAGTCAATAGGACTAAGAGTGGCCCCTTTACAGACCTCAGATACTGTTGGACCAAACAGCACAATTGATTGATAGCAGCTGCATTGGCTGTATTTTTGGCGTAATTGTATCACAAAGTTTTGATGAGAAAAAGAGTTGAATAGAAAGGGATAAAATCTTTTCAGTGGCTCCGACCTTCACAGTGAACACTGAGGCCACTTATGACTTGACCTCTCAAGAGTGAAACAGCCAAATGTCAAGTAACAATAAAAAGGATGAAAGATACAATATGCTTCACACAATAAAAAAGGACATGAATGGGCTGCTGGTTTCATTTTTACCAGCCTGAAAGGTCAAGAACCACTTAATATATGTTCCAAGATGTAAGAATAGACTTAGTACATGTTATAAATATTTGAAAATACTGCCACTGTATCCACAAACTGATAATACACACATGCACCTGCATGGAGACACACACACACACACACACACCGACAGGCCCATTCAGCTGGATGGTTAAATGTCATTACAGCTGACAGTTTGAGTGGGCAGAAGGGCAGCCAGTCATTTTCTGAAGAGTGCTCACACTGAAGTGTGTGATGGGTGTTAACAGACTTCACATCACCGTCAGTGCAGCGCTACAAACAGATGGACATCTGGGTAACACAACATGCTCTACTGGAGGTTTTCATATTAGAAAAGAATAAAACGAGTTGTTTTGGATTGAGGATTGTGAGACAAGTATGAGTTTTGGGGTCTGCAAATACCTTCACTCCACTACATTGTTGGCTTTCCATCCACACTAAAAATGCTGATGTTTGATATGGTCAGATACAGGGTACTGTGCCAGCAACATTAGGAAGCTTCTCAGTGATCAAATTCTCTGTATCAATTGATGGGGACGGATTGGCATTAAATGATACTGAAGTGTGGGCTGGCTGACTGCAGGATAGGCCCAAGAGACAGAAGAAGCGAAGAACACTGGTGGAAGGGATGCCACCAGACATGAAGTAGACTGACTATCAGAGAATTTCAGACAATACCTGAAAAAAAGCAGAATAACTCACAGCTGACAAGAGGATATGTTAGCATGTCACAGTAATACATTAACATTAATAATGGCTGAATTCCATTTAGTTGTTTCAGTTTCAGGTTCCCAGTATTGTTCATGCTAGCTCACTGTCACATTGTCATGACTTACTGGCACTTAAATAGAACAGAGCTATCATTAATGTTACTAGTAACAGTGGTGCCCCATACTCTGACCTACACACTGTGGCAACTACAAATCAGCTGCAGTTGATTAGGGTGATCAAAGTGAGGGAGGACAGCTGGAGGCCGAGCTGACCACACAAGACTGAAGATCTGACTGACATATCTCTTTGTTTTCGTTGTCAGCCGACCGCCAGATATGTGCAGCATGCTTTAGCATAAGAGATAAAGCTTAAAGGATAAATTAATGATAATGCCTCCTCCATGGAAACAGTAACGGAGAGTTTTCATTTCAACCATTCTGGTATTCTGGTATGGAGCATTAACACTTCTAATATTATTTTCACATCACATCCCCAGCTGGGGATCCTCACATCAGAGGATCTCCAATTTGTTTTTCTGAGTTGGATTAAAACAAACCTCTGCTGGCCTAACTCTGCAGATCATAACAAATAAATCCAAATGGTTTGGTGTGTGCATTAAAATGCATGTGTCAAAATCTCACTACATCAATGACCTGAAAATGAAGAAACACTTATATTTAAAAGTTAATGTGGCAAAGCTGGACAATGTCTTGAAAATGTGTTTTGCTGTCATGATTATTAATATTATTATTACATCATATACATATTGCTATGAATGCTGTGTAATCTTCCAAGCAAAGTCTGGTGAAGCCTACATCCTATAAGCAGACTTTCAGAAAGTTTGTTGAGTTCCTAATAAATTGTTGGACAGCCCACGGACACATCTGAATTTAGGCCAGTTAGGGCCATAACTGTCTCATTCTATATATAAATAATAAACTGGTCACATTGTTTGCTACTGTTTAGCACCTTTCCTAACACTTGCACTGATAATAAAAGACAGTGTTCAGTTCTATTTGAACTTATTTAACCTTTGTTTGACCGGTGTAGGTTGCACAGAATTAAAAACTGTCTCAGTTAAAGGGCAACCTGCATAATGCATCTCAGTGAAATTCCTTTGGGGATGCTTTAATGGCAGCAAACAGCAAACACAACAAAATGAGGAGGAAATCGCCACCTACCCCTCAGCACTGCGTCCACACCTCCCTAATTTGATCCCGATGTCACAAACAAACTTCCCAACTCCTCCGTTGAGCCTGTAGCCAAATCAAAAAGTTCCACATCATTAACAGCTGAAGGTTGCTATACTGTTAATGAGAGGCCCAATTAGCCTTTACTAAAACAAAGAGACGGAGGGAGGGAGAGACTCAGAGGAATAGCTTCCCTCCTGTATAAAATTTGTTGACCCATTGCCAGGTTTTCTCAGTCACCTCTGAGAAATAGAAACATTGAGAAGAGAGATGAGAATAGATAGAATAGAACAAGTGCTAGAATTTGTATTCATGGCAATCAACTCTCCAAGACATTTTCAAATATATCGTTAAAAACAAAGATTTTCATTAGGGTTGCATTTAGAGTCTAAACTTGACTGGCGTTTGCAAATATGATGTTTAAGCCGCTTAACTTGTTACAGCTGCAAGTATATGTGCATTTAGCCTCCAGACTGATACAGTAATTGATGCTGTTACTGGATACTGCACTTTTTTCCCTAGTGGATGTTTGTTGGGTCGCTCAATGACCAAGTCAAGGTGCAACACAAGATATATGTCAATGCTTTTATATGAGAAAGAGACATTAGAAAGCTAATGTGGGTTTTGGTATCGGTTTGGTGAGTCTTTTACTGATTCTGTGTTTGTTGTGTGCCTGTTTTTTCTTTTTGGTTTGTTTGTTTTGTTTATTTGACAATTCATTTAAATTTTCTGATAAAAAATGTACATGGTTGCAACACCAATGTACTTGCACAGTTAAAAGAACCTTTAGGATAACACAAGAAAGTCACAGGACTTTTTTTCCATTGGGGTCTTCTTTGAAGTTAGATGTCATAGAGGTGTGAATACATGCATGCTTGCATGTGGAGATAGTGGGGTGCAGCATTAGCAGCACATAAAAGCACAAGAAAACAACAATATACAAGAAGTATTGACATTACACTGGGTAATTCTGACAGCAGTTTAAATTAAACACTTCATATTCTATTAAAATGATTCCCTGAAATTAGCTAGATTTAACCCTGCCCACACAACTGTCTTTACAGGGTAATGTTATCTAACAGCTAGTGTTTCAGTTTTGTCTTAAATGTGACTGTGTTTGGAGTCTGTTTATTATAATAGGAACCTTATTCCAGTCCTGGGCACCAGAGTACATAAAATAACTTTTACCCATCTGGCTATGGATTCTTAGAAGCATCAGACTTACTACACTGGAGATAGTGTTGTGCCTGTGAGCCTCTCAGACTTGCTGGAAGCAGTTTAATAAATAATCTGGGGCTACACCATTTAGCAGCATGAACTGGTTCCTCCGTATGTGCTCTCGTGGGCCGAGACCTAAGACCACTGTGAGAAAATTTTTTTGGGAGACCTGAAGTGTTATCTTCCATAGCTTAGGAAGACTACACAGTCAGTGATTGACTGATGGTGGTAGGTGAAACGATTTGATTGGCTATATGTAAATAATTTCCACACAGACACAGATACACCCGCTCATATATACGCAAGCCAAAGCTATATATATATCCTCAACTTTATTAAAATCACTGAAGGAAGTTTATAACATAATACAACAATAAACTATAAAAAAGACTATGTAATTCTACACATAATGCAATAAAAGTGCCTGGTTGTACGCTGCACATTGGTAATGTAAGTCTAGTAGAGAGTTTAAAGCTTAAAATAACGAATACCACAACTTTATTGTTCACAATTTGTCTTCAGTTTCACCATAAGACATGTCATAAAAATACAAAATCATTCATAAAAATACAACTCGCAAAACACAAATCTACACAATATCACATAAAGCCTGTATTCCGGATCCGTCTTTAATCCATTACCTTAAAAGCGCTGGGGACATTATTGCAGATATTTCTGTGATTTCAGTTATTTGATATGATATGTTTGACAGGTATGTAGTAACACATGGATATGAGCCGTCTATATTGAGGCTCCACATTCTTCGCAGTTCTTCGCCATTGTTTTTTTTTACTTTATTCAGGATATACTGTCATGTAACCACATTGTATTTTCCAGGTGTTTGTGTTGAGGTGGTCATCAGTCACTGGTAAACACATCACATCATATGAACTGATCCAAGGAAAAAGCCACAGCAGGATGTAAATAATAAAAGCTAGAGGGCACAGAAGGAACCAAATCTCCCCTCTATGCCTCCAGACAGCGCTGAAAACACCCTGCCTTCACCACAAAGCTATTACATATACGATTTATAGGCATCATGGAATAATTTTGTTGAAATTAGAGACTAGAGGCGCAGTGAGAATGGGATAAAAAGGGCTGGATTGCGACTTCAGCCCAAGGCTTTTCTGCTTGCCTCATGTTGTGACAGGTCACGCATCACAAAAACGAATTGCTCTGCTCCACTGTGGATGCCTCCTCACTCACACACACAGGTGCAAACACTAGTATATAGGCCTACTGGTACATGCAGACACCAAACAGGAGTTCACAGACACACTTGTGTAACACCTGGTACTGCCTTTCCACTGTTGCTCATTCGCTGATGTTGCTATTTGCAAGAAGCCAAAATCCTGGTGGCAAGCATGGTAATTTCCAACTTCACAAGCTGAAGGGGACCACCTGAACACACCATTAGTTCACCATCAGAGGAGGATGAGAAGCAGACCCAGCAGCCTTTTCTACTAGAAATTATTGTACATTCCATTTGAACTGGAAAGTCAGAGTTTCTCAGTTCCCAGTATGACATTTAAACTGGAACGACCCTTGAAGTTGGATTTCCAACTAGGAAAGTCAGACGAACCTAACTACCTTAGCTTCAAAATCAAAGTAAGCTGCTCCGCTCGTCAACTAAGTGAAAGTTGTAGTAATATTCTGTTTATTAGCACCTTTGTCTTTTGTGTCTCATTAAATCAGTTGTACACACAGTACTGTCCAACCTATGTCTGTGGACATGTTGCTACGGAGTTTGCATGCAATACCCCGTAATGCCTTGTTGGTTTGCTGGTATTGCTAACAATGGCTAATGGCTAACTGGGCCAGCATTTGGTTTTCCGACTGGAAATTTGTCAACTCGGGTGTGATGTCATTCCCGGCTCCGACTTTAGACTTCCGAGGTAAATGGAATGCAGCATTATGTTTGTATATTACGACATTGTTTTTACAATAATGATGTGATAATCCCTGCCAGGATTATATTCAGAAACAACATTTGTTTGAGTGAATTAAATACTACTGTACTGTACTAGACTTGCAAGGAGGTGTTCGGGGTAGACAGCGGACAGACAAAGTGCAGGACTGTCACACCACTATAGGTTCGCGTCCAGACTCCTGTCTGTGGTTTGTTTTAGGTAACAAAAGCAATTATATAAAGGTTGGGAACATTTTTGGTTAAAGGTGGGGTATGCAATTCTGGAGAAATCCAAGACCATGACAAATACAACATCACTGAAGTTAACTGATGTCAGATTTCACCTGACTGCAGTGCACAGCAGACATACATAGTGTAGGATAGGTTCAGATTTATCTTTTATTCAGAATGTATTTCCACAATCTCTGTCCCTGTCAGTAACAGTATTGTTAAGGTTGACCATCTAAAACACTATGTGTTGAGGTCTGTTCAGAGGTCTATTAGAGCAGCAGAGAAGGGAGAGAAAGAGAATGAAAGAGACAAAGCACCATTATTTTACACCCCTGGGTCAATGTCAGAGAGAGCTGCTGGCAAATTAAAGAAGAAGAAAGAGGAGTGCCCTAAAAATGTTTTAGGGGCACTTTTCTTCTCTCTTTTCCAAATTTATCTCTTCCTCACTACTCCCTTTTCTTCTTTTAATCAACTCCTTCTCTCATACCCCCAAACTCTCCGTTTATCTGCCTCCATCTCGATCTTTCTCTCCTCTCTTTATCTCTGTCTCCTCTCTGAAAGCTTGTCTGAAGCACAGCTGAGTCTCAAGGGACTGCAGACCTCTCTGTCTCCATCAGCCTCTTTCCCTACTGCACTCTCCTCTTTCCTGTCTTTCTTCTCAGAGTTGTCAAATCAGCAGAGGGAGCAGTGGGAGCTCAGTTTTCCAAGTGACATGCTCACTACTGCATATTGTGGTCAAAAAGTCATTGCAGCAATGACAGATGGCAGTGACTCAAGACCCGCAGATAAGGGAATTTACAGGAACCGTTGCAGCGACGTTACATGGTTACATTGGAACATTGGAAACTGACTGGAAAAGGGAAGACACCTTCAAAAAAATACTTGGCAGGTTTATCACAGGCCAACTTCAACCAATCAGATCAGCGAACCATATAACATAGTCAAACTCTTTCCAAAGCCAGTCGGGAGAAAACATCTTTTCCATCAAGAAAAGCCTTCAGTCCTGTTGTCTGCTCTTAGTTCAATGAAGAGATACTCTCCAGCAGTGTTAATTTTGACAGCAAATTCTGATTTAGTCTTAGTCTTAGTCTTTTAAATAACACACCATTTAGTTTTAGTCATATTTTAGTCATCTGAAATCTTTTAGTCTTAGTCTAGTTTTAGTAGACCAAATATTAGCAGATTTTAGTCGACTAAATCTACAGTGATCTACTATAATAGTACACATTTGATTCAATTTGAGGGACATTGAATATTTATACTCATTAATTCAGCGAGACAATCGTCTAATCAATACAGTTCAGAGGTGGTTTCCTTTAGCTTCTATTTTATTCCAAGTTTTGCGTAAACACAGTGGTTTATCTGATAAAATAACCTTAGCGTGTATGCTTACCTTCGCATGTATTTCTGGATGAGTCGTCTGTAAATGTCGCTTCAAGTTGGTGGTGTTTTTCCCAGCGATTGTCCAACAAAAAGAGTAGTTCTGATTGGATCTCTTCTCCATTCGTCCCTCCCTAACATCTTCGGGTCATTTTTATTCGTTGACTAAAGTGTCAGTTATATTTCGTCACAGTCTTCGTCATCATATCTGACTTTTTATTTAGTTTTTATTTAGTTTTCATCCGTGAAAAAGGTTTGTTGACGAATATTTTTCATTTTGTTTTCGTCAATGAAATGAACACTGCTCTCCAGTAACAGCTATGATATCACTGATGCTACGCTAACCTCTTTAGCAGTGGCTAATTCCTAATATGCTTTGGACAGCGGTGGCTGCGGTCTACGCCACAGAGGAATAAGATCAGGCTTTGTCTACACACATATCTGTCAGTAGGATACATTTTTTGTTGGTTTGGGTAAGTTTGCTTTTTATGGCAGCTACCAGTATTGCCATCAAGGACAGGTACTGTATCAGTGAAGAAGCTATTACTGAATTGATCCCTATATCAACAGTATCAGGGATATTGCTGTCATGGTTTATAATTCTGAAATATTGAAATTCTTAAACTTTGCGTCAAGCTGTGCACCTGCTTTCAGCCAAATCAGAATAATTCATATACATTTCACGTGGTCTATTGCTTGTATCTGGTCCTTGTCAGAGCAGAATGATAGAGATGGCACATAAAGGCGGTGGTGTGTGGAGAAATAAACCAACAGCCTGCCAGAGGGCAAAAAAACCCAGTGTCCAGGGAAACGCTTTCATCAAGTCCTGCTCATAAAAGACGATTTACGGCCATCTGGGGCTTTGACCAAGGCTGAGGTGTGTTTGTGTGCATATGGGATGTCTGTGTATAGTTGTGTTCATATGGGTGTGATCATAACTCACCCAGACGAGAGAAAAAGTGAGAAGAGAACCTGGTAAAAACACATCAGCGTGTTTCAGCACCTGAATAGATTTTAACATGGTGACCAATGTGTCTTGTAAAATCAAAGTAGATTTGTTAGCTTGTCAACATGCACGCGCACACAGAAAAACACATACACACCACACAGTCTCCCTGCAGAGTGTGTTGATAACTTTAGTTTCTGCACGGAACATGTAGCCTACAAACTTGTTCTGAATGTTGAAAAAAATCGTAAATATTAAAAATGATGGCTGCTGTCCTCTATGCCACACATTCAGCATATTCATAAGAAAATCACCCTTGAAAATAGGATTTATTATTTTCACTGTATGTGTCCCCTGGGTACAGATTACAGAATGTGTCAGTCACATGGTTCAAGGTTAACCAGCTGTTTTGTCAATGTTATGTCTTAATTTAGTGTTTCATGTTGGAGTCAAACTTTGTTGCGTAAATATCCTCAGAGGTAATAAAAACGATCCATCTGCCTACAAACCAGTGTAAAAAAATAAAAATGATTACAAACCTTGGCTCAGCTCGCTATTTGATATAAATTCCTAAATGAAGCCACAAAAATATAGAAACAGAAATGACATAACATTAGATTTGCAGTGGGAGGGACAAATCCCTGCCACCTTTCACTAATATATATATCAAATGCAAATATCTCAACAAAGACTATAGATGAGTTACTAATGCGTCTGTCTCTGGTTATATACATAGACAGTAATACTAGTGTATAAAAAAGCAGAAACAATTCATGCTTTTTGTCATCTGGTGAGTGCATGGTAATGTGAGAATACAAGTAAGATTACTTGCCTGTAGCCTACTGTACACTTGCTCACTCATTATCATTTTCCATTACCTGGCTGTCCCTTCACTGAGGGAAATCACCTGCAGACTATTAGTCATCCGGAGCACATCATTGCAGGAGTCCCCAACCTCACTCCCCCACAGCTCATTCAGATGAGTTCAAGTACACCTTCATCAGCACCATCCAGTGTTCAAGATGTATTCATTTGAACTGATATATTTAAAATGGATGTTATTTAACACAATTATTATGTAAAAAATCATATAAGGGAAATGCACTACTGGTTGGAATGGCAGAACCTGGATGTTACCTTAATATATAATGACTTCTCTGCTTGCTTCTGAGCTTGTCTCACTCACACTCACTCACAGCATGTGGTGTTAAAGTAAGGCTGGGAGACGTGCAGCAAGTTTATCTGGTATTTTATTGCTTATTGTGACATTAAATACACTAGAACAGCCTCAAACCTATTTCTAATCATATGTATGTGTTTATTTTTCTCCTGAGCACAAATATGTATTTTGATATATTTTTTAATTAGATCAAAATTTCTATTTTTGCTACTCCATGTATAGCTCAGCTAATCTGGCAACTGCAGAAGTACCCTCTGGGCTACACATACTCTGACTGGGACTCACTGCCCTATGGTAACAATGAGACCAAGAAACATAAACATATACCAAACATAATCACAAACAGTGTGAACCAATCAAAGATTAACTCATAATGTGAAGGACAAAGAGGGAGGGTGAGAGTATATTGAACCAGACATTTGATTTAATGGGATTAGATGAGGTTCCTATGGAAAACAGGGTATATTTGCAACAGTTCATAATGGAACACAGAATATAATAAAGTAGATGAGTAGTAACCTACAGTAACACAGCTTACATATATTGAATAACTTCCTCTTTCTCTTTCCTCCACTTTTGTTCCGCGAACATGTAAATCAGAGAAACTGCATTTGCATCTCACCTGCCTAAACAAGCCAGAATTAGCAGAGACAATCAGAACACATGAAGGGTGAGAGATGAGATGTGAACAGCACCTCTCCCCAGGCTGATAAATAATACAACACTCTGGCTTTTTAAATTGAGTACACAGCAGTTTAGACACACAAACACAGAGCGGAAAACCGACTTGATCACAGGGTGAAAAGCAGCTGAAGTCCTGACAGATATTTGTTCATTATGTTAAAACAGTGATGACACAGGAAGCCAGCTACAAAACAAAACATTCGCTCACAGCAGGTTCTCTGATGGGAGACCACGTCACATGTTGATACATGTCATGTAAGCTGACAAGATCAGAATTCCCTGGAGAGTTTCAACACCACGGTTTCATAACTTAAAGGGAAAGTGTACTGAGATTTTCAATGAATCTCTCTATGAACACTCATAAAGTTAAGAGCAGACGAAAAAACACTTGACCGTTAAGAGCTTTGAAATGTTGCTGTCCATGGTGCTGAAGAGAGTGACGGGTTCATTTTAAAGTAACCTGGTTTATTTAACAGTAAAGATTATCAGTCACTGATTTATTCAGAAAAGAATTTGGGTGCTTGCTTTCCTGTTACATACATAATAAACATACTAGTTCCTAGACATCAGAATTTCTCCGTTAGCGTTGCTAGGAAAATCTTAGTTAAACAGGAAGAGCCTCACGAGCCAGAAATTTTAAATGACAAAGAGAAATTTAGAGAAACAGACATTTCCATATTCAACGTATAAGGATAGAGAATGAGGTGGCATCCTGCTAGATGATGTGTTTAAAACTGTACAGTTTAATAGTGGCCCATTAATTTAAAACTGCACATAGGTTTCTGGTTATACTGATACTAAAAGTTAAACACACATTCCAGCCAATCATAATCAAGAAGTTTCATTGACAGTCCCTGTATCATAATCAATTCATGCAGATGACATTATTCTGTAAGTAATTTTCTGGACACATGGGGCAGACAAAACACATTGACCCATTATCACTTCACACTTTTAGCTCTGGTTTGGTCTTATTTATGGTCATATTTTGCTGAGGGAAATATCGGTCTATTTAGCAGCTAGATGTTCCACTTTCTTCACCAGCTAGTTGCTATCTTTGTTTGCCATTTCTTGCTGGGTAGGTAGCGTACAGTGTGCCTGCATGAGACTGAAACAAAGAGTTCTGGGCTGTAAAACCAAAACAATGAGTTCAGATGCTCTATTGTTGGTATAAAAAATATTGATCAGTGCAACTTTAACATTCCTCTGTGACTGAGAATTCAATGTTAAGGGGGAAAAAAAGTTTTCCACATTACCTACAAGAACAAAAATGAGAAAATAGAATCAGAGCAAAAGAAAAAGAGGCATTTAAGTCATGTAAAAGTAATATGTTGTATATAGGCAAAAAACTCTTTTCTTAGTTGTGCAATGAACTGCAGAAGTAGTAGAACTATATGAATCTCAATGTATGCATGTCACGCTTGTGCATAAAATAGAGTTTGGGCTTCACAGGTAAACTGCACTGTGCTAAGCAAGAGACTTATTCTTATTCTAATTTAAATTTGAGATCAAATACCCCCATTGGTTGTATTGGGGAATGTCACTTTACAACCGTGCTGACCTAGATAAAGCCTTGGAGAAAAAGTACCCTGCACCTTCAGACTGCAGCCATGTTTCAGTTTTAATTAGAGGGGAGGACTTTATCTTCCTCTCAGCCCTTCTCTCCCCCGCTCCGTTCCCCTCAGCCACCTGGCCAAGGCAGCAGCAGAATGTAAATTGGGTTCTGGTCTTTAATTGGATACTGTAGATGCTGGGCAGGACCTATATCCACAACCAAAACACACACACACACACACACACACACACACACACACACACACACACACACACACACACTCAGACACAGACTTGCTCTCTCACACTGAAAGGTTGAGCTGCTGGATAATGACAGAAGATTGCTGGACAAGAGAAGCTCTGCACGGTTAAGCAAGTTGGCTCTGATGCTTCAGAAGATTCAGTGTACCTTCAATTCTTCCACATCCAAAATATAGATAGTACACTGGATGGATAAAATCAATCAATTTAGATCTGTTGGACGTGATGAAGTCAGCAGTTTGGGGATAACTGTAAGTAGAAATAATTAACTTTAAAAAAAGAAAACAGAAGTCCATCTTCAGTGGTGACTTGATGCTGCAGTAGTAGATGGAACCAACAGGTACAGCCAATACGGTCATCACTAATTTGTCAGCTATCTCGTCTTTGCATCTACCAGTACATCAATAAAAGGCGTTGTTAAAAGAAAACCTTCAGTGAAAATTGTTCATAGATCCCAACCTTACAGATTACCTTACAGAGGAAGCCAAAACAAATGTGTTGCAGACAATACATTTTTATAATGAATGACAAAGGAGGAATAATGATTAGACAAAAATTAAATGGCCACAATGACTTAATTATAGTTATAGTCAGTATGGAGACTGTAAACATGAACAAGAGAAGACTGTGGATGGGTGTAGCATGGAGGATCAAATATAGCTGGAATATCGGCCTAGGTTTCAGAAATGGAAACTAAGAATAAGCTCCAGTTAGTAACTCTCGGGTCAGCCTTGGGTCAGTGTCGTCCCCTGTCTTTGGACAATTCTGAGTCATTCATCACAAGTCTGGCACGAGATTCAGACCACTGTATGGACAAGCCATTTTGGCTTACTTGGGTAAAATGCTAGTAAAGTGTTCCTTTAAAATAAAAATTTAAAAATTTAAAATCAAATCCTCAAAATGGCATTGGGCGGTGTGTGTGTGTGTGTGTGTGTGTGTGTGTGTGTGTGCAGTCTTTTTTGGGAACTCTTACTTGCAAGGAGCCGGTTGCCTCTGTGAATTTAGCAGCTGACAGTGACAAACTGTTGTTTATTCTGCATTTGTGGGTGCTGTGTGTGTGTGTGTGTGTGTGTGTGTGTGTGTGTGTGTGTGTGTGTGTGTGTGTGTGTGTGTGTGTGTGTGTCGTTAAGCTAAGGTAGACACACACAAACACACACACACACACCAGGAGACACACACACCCCCACTGGGAGATGCTTCAAAGCGTGGCATCGCTGTCGGCTGTATTGCTTTGTGTTTCATGTGTCCTCTATTTTTCCACCCAGCACCCTCCTCTCCTCCCTCTTCCACCCCCCCTCCTCACCCATTCTTTATTAATGGCCCAGATGTGGTGGTGGCACACAGGGAGCTCATTACACCGAAGACAACACAAAGCGTTTATTTCCATATTAAAACATTTTGGTAGGAGGTGCTTTCATGTAACATGTAACCAAACCAGTGTACAGCTTCTAAAACTAACAATGTGACTTGTTCGACAGTTTCCGCTCTGTGTTTGATTAGGTGAGAAAGAGGAAGAGGAGGAGGAAGAAGGGGAGGAGGTGAGTTCATGCATTATGTAACTTCATGTAGCTGTGGCTTGTGAAAGAGTTACAGCCGTAACGTTACAGGATGGAGGAAGGAAAGGAGGAGAAAGAGGAGGAAGTGACAGAGGGAGAGGTGATGATGAGGCGGAGACAGACATGCAGCAAGGGTGGAGGAGGTGAGGACAGGGAAAGATTAAAGTGAGGAGGGGAAGGAAGGAAGGAAGGAAGGAAGGAGGGCATTGGAGAAAAAGGAGCAGAGAGGCGAAAAATGGATTGAAGAGGAAGGAGTAAGAGGGTAGTTAGGGAGACAGAGAAGGGAAGAAGGTGAGGTGAAAGGTGAGGAAAGTGGAGGAGATGCAGAGGGACAGGAGAGGTTGGAGGAGGTGAGATGAAGGAGGGTGGAGAAAGGATGAGGTGGAAAAACTTAAAGAGGGACAAAGACAAGGTGAGGGAGATCGGGAGGTGAGGAGGAAGATGAGGAGAGAAAGGTAGTGGAGGAGGTTAAGCGAGAAAGAGGTGATGAGGACAAGAAGGCTAAAGGAGGGGAGGACAAGAAAGAGGCGGTGGAGGAGGAGGGGAATAGGAGCGGAAGAAAAGAGGCAAGTGGGAGGAAGAGGAGGACGGGGGGAGAAGGAGGTAACCTAAAAACAGGCAAGGAGAAAAATGAGAGACGAAGAGTGGGAAGAAATGGGGTAGAGAGTGGAAGAACGGGAGGAGGTGGGCAGGAGAGTAGAGAGAGTGGTGAAGGAGCATAAAGAAAAGAGAGGGATAAAGTGTGGGACGAAGTGAAGAGGAGGAGAGGGAGGAAGTGAGGAGAGGGAGGTGAGAAAGAGGAGGAGGCGGGCATCAGGAGTCAGAGTCACTTTCGTCACAGAAATTTGTCGTGTTGATCCGAGGTGTGAACGCAGCAAATCTGACAAATCTCTCTCCAAACCTGTCCAAAACACGAGGTGACTGTGTGTGTGTGTGTGTGTGTGTGTGTGTGTGTGTGTGTGTGTGTGTGTGTGTGTGTGTGTGTGTGTGTGTGTGTGTGTGTGTGTGCGTGTGTAAGTTACACCCTAGGGGACAGTCAACCTTTCCAGTGAACAGTCTTTATCAGCCTCCTGTTTGGGTTTGTTTCTCCACATGATCTGCTGTTATTCACCTCCTCAGTAACATAATATGAGTACAGCAGGAAGAGAGAGCCTGAGTGGACACCAGTTCAGTCACTGCAAGCTCAGTCCCATGCGGCCGCACTGTATGACCCGTGGATCAGAGCTTGTGTGGCTGCATCTTATTTTACTGTTCCACTCTTGCAATATTGAAAACCAATCTACCAACAAGAAGCACTGATATGATATTGATCCATTTTTATTGAGCAATAATTTATTACTCCAGAAGAACTGGCACCACAAAGCTTGCTAAGGTTCCATTAGCAACAAAGACAAAGATGATGCAAAACAAGCTGAAGTTTAAAGGTCCAGTCTGTAGGAATCTATGGCATCTTTGCAGATTGCAACTCTGTCGCTTCACCCTCCCGTTCCAAGTGCGCAGGACAAACTACGGTGATTAAAAAAGCCCCTATTACAGCCAGTGTTTGGTTTGTCTCCTCTGGGCTACTGTAGGCTACTGCCGCTGAACATGGCAGACTCCACTGAAGGCGACCCTCGGCGTCTGTATATATAAACGACTCATTCTGAGGTAATAAAATCATGATTCCTATATTTAGGTGACTATAAACCAATGAAAACATACTAATATTATATTCCATTTCAATAGATCATCCTAAATGTTACACACTGGACCTTTAAATTAATAACAGTGAACTTCCTTATCTGCCCTGTCATTTGTCCAACAACATCATACTGGTTAGGTTATCAGTGAGGTAAGTAAAGTTTTTGTTTCTGTTTAATTTTATTTTTATGCTCGGCCACTCTCTTTCTCTCTGTCATTTTTACACTCTTTGACTTGAGCCAGATTTCTTCATCATGGACCTGGCTTGGAGACATTGTCAAACTTCAACCTCCCAAAGCTGCCACAAAGTTGGAAGTACATTATTGTCTAAAATATTACTGAATGCTGTAACATAAAGATTTCCCTTCCCTGGAACTGGAGTCCAGACTCTGAAAAGAGCCTCAGAACAAAATGACACTACATGGATTTCTGCAGTGATTTGTCCTGTATTCTACAGCACTGGGTGAAATCTGTCACTTATGTAGGAGTAAACAAACACTATATGCTTTGAAGGGACCAAAAGCAGTGACCCAAAAAGTTGGACATTTGCCAGCAAAAACTGCCCTAAAAGACCCCAAAACAGCTCAGACACATCAATATCACTATCTTTGGGTCAAGGGGAAAAGTAAACCAGGCCAATAATCATCTTGTGTTTGGCATAATGTCTGATTTTGCCATGTTAAAGTTATAGTCATTAAACGTACTACAAGGAGTTTTAAACTAGTTATTAAACAGTCTCAATGCAATACTGATGCCTTTATATGACCTACATAAGACCATCAGTTTCTATAGTTATTCTTAATGCTTACTTGGTTGGATTCGGTCAGATTCCCCCTTGAAATCAATTAAACATCATCGCTTTTGTCCACAGGGGCCACCATAATCAACAAAAAAATCAAAGTTCCTTGGAGGGACTTTAAGATTTAAGCCTGGTTCATTTGGCGACACCTCTGGTTACCATGGTAACAGCAAGCACTCTGAGTGCAGCTACAGTATTTTGTCAGAAATACAACAGAAGAGCATCCAGTGTATGTCTTTACAGTGCTGCCAAACTAACCCACATTATTTTGTAACGTACCATAGCTAATAGTCTGCCTTTGACAACATGAATGGCTATGACAGAATAAAATCTTAAATTTTACAACTTTCAGAATAAAAGGAATAATTTTATTTTGAGAAAGTAAAAAAAAATTATAAATAAAAATAGAAATAATAATAAAAGATATACAATATATATGCTAATATATATACAAAGTTATGTATGCCTCAGTATGTGACGGACAGAAATGAGTAATAGTAGTAAGTTTTTAAAGAGTGTGGTATTGCAGAAGTTATTCTGAAGTTATTAAATTATTACAGAGAATGACGGAAATAATCCAGTGTACTGCACCTTCATGAACTTATTGCACAAACTGCGCTTCAATTTCATGCCATATATGTCTATTTTTTATCTTTTTTTGGGTGCAGAGAGCTCAGCAAAGCTTTACACTGAAATATTTTCTGAAGGCAAAGCAAATGTTTTTCTTTCCCTGCACCTGTTTGGTATTTTAGTGACTTGTGTGCTGCGGTGAGAGGAGATTCACAGTAGGGGGAATGTCTCTGGCAATGCAGCTGTGCACTGCAATTTCAACGTCAAGATTTACAATATTTAATGCCGCTTGCTGCCTGTCTTCTTGGATCAGATCAACAGCGCACAGAGCACCACAAACCTGGTGGAACTCCAACATAAACCTCTCAAAAAAAATCCCTCAAATGACTTTTTGCTTGTCTGTTTTCACATTCCTTATCCATTCTCTAACAGGAAGACACATATTATTAAAGAAAAAATACAGCTTTTCATATATAAGTTTACATCATGTCAAACTGAGTTTCCTTTTAGCACTGCTTGATCTCATCCTGCTATGTCCCATTTCTCCCTAAAACTTCTTTTGGTTTTGCCTTGGTTAGGTGTTGTCACATCCAGCCTTTGTGAATCTGTGTGTGAACATGTGTCCAAACGTGTGCCTGTCTGTGTGTGTGTCTGCTGAAGTATTATGAGTGGCTCAGTGGATGCTGCTGTATTATCAGCAGATATGAGCCGAGCAGACCTGCTTGTTTGTTCAATCTGTGGCTCCACCGCTTCAAATCAAATCTCCTGTAATTAGCTCTGTCATGTGTTCAAGTTCAGGGTGCTCTCAGTGGGCGTGTGTGTGTGTGTGTGTGTGTGTGTGTGTGTGTGTGTGTATAAAGCAGAGAATAACCATATCCATGTGGTGCTCGTCTGGGTCCAGCTCAGACTGCAGTCCCACTGCCTGTGTGGGAGGAATACTGGTGATGCTGATTTGGATGTTTCTGTTATACCTGCACTTAAATCACGTCCACATCACGAAGGATGTTGGTTGTGTGGGAGAAAATACTGTGCATTCATGGTCAATATAGCACTATATCCAGTTGCGTTTAATTACCTTAAAGGACCAGCTTTGGCTGATATGAGGCATCCTTGTTTGCTTTTTCAGGCCTTTTTGTATGTTTGGCGAGGAGTCAGATCTATGTGAGAGTCCCAGTTGTAATTACGAATTAGACTATGACATGAATGGTATTTACAAGTGGGAAACTGGTATTTAAAGTAGCTCCAACATGAAGTGAACATGGCCTCAGCGATTCCTGTATCTTTCTAATGCAATGCTGCTGTACTAGACAACAGACCCAGAGATGATGCTGAGCATGAGGATATTTATGATTATTGTAACATGTTTCATGATTTATAAATGTGAAGAATAAATATTTGAATACCATCTTAGTTTAACTTTGCTACTTGGCTCTGTAAAAGCTTTCATGAATGTTGTGGGAAATGTTCTCATTTCTGTATTGAGACCCTCAAAACACCATTTGATTTAATATGTGACAGGCTTTGATTGAGAAAGTGAGTTCACAAAAACTCTGACAGGACAGAAAGTTGGCTCTTATATTGCTGCTGCACATTTCAGCCATGTCTGTGAATGTTGCTTGTTGTTTTTCACATTCTTCCACTCTGAAGAGCATTTTTGGCTCCCATTAGTGTGGACAAAAGGCTAAAATGGAGTGAGAAAAAGATGTGATTTCATATTTATCCACATTAACGTGGACATTGCCTCAGAGACTAAATGACAAGAGGAAAGAAATCAGACAGTGAAGTGCTGAAATCTCCCCGGAGACTGATAGAGAAAAGGAGACAGTTTCCACTTATTCCTCCTCATCTGACCCTTCCCTCACCCCCCGTCTCTCTCCCTCTCTCTCTCTCTCTCTCTCTCTCTCTCTGTCTGTCTGTCTGCCTCCCAGTGCTGCACATACACATATCAACACACAGCTCTGGCATGCAGTCACACATGGCCTACAGCGTGCTGGGTACACGACAGTCACACAATAGAAACTGTGCATGAAGATGCCCACATCCGCCCCGCTCACAGTTTTGTTGGGAACTGTTTGTGTATGTTTGGATGCAGTTGTTGGGTTGCCAGCTGGTGTTGCTGGTTGCCAGGTTTCTCGCAGCTTGTTTACAGCTGTGACCCACAGCAGTGCTGCCTCTGTGCCACATTCACCACCTCTACTGGCCTTTGTGGAGCTCAGTCAGACAGACCAAGAGTGCTGTGAATTACAGGGGTTTTATCTAAAACCTCAACGGTTGTCATATGGAGCCAAATCTAGCATAACACGATCCATTCTGTGACATTCTGTTCCTCTCTTTTTCCTCTTTTATCGAGACCTAAAGCTGAAATAACGGTCTTCAAGAGATACACTTAAACATCTCTGAAGGTCAATGCACAGAAGGGCGTACTCCTATAAGGAGACATAAAGAGGAAATCACACAGCCCTAGAAAGATCTCTGAATGATCATACAGCCAGAAAACATGTTCAGACTCAACATGAAGTCAACTGAAAAACAAATTTGGACATGAACAGATGCAGACTCACTGTAGGTGGCACAAATTAAGGCAAAGACCCGTCTGCATAAATTAAAAAATGTTTCATCTTGAGTGACAGTTTTGTGCTTATCCCGGAGCTGTTTAAATTCACCTTATGGACATACTGAGGTCTGTGCAATTGGCTGCAAATAGGGAAGCAGTCAAAACATCGCAAAAAAAGGGAGAAATTAAACAAAATCAAACACACTTTGTAGTTTTGATAACTAAACTTTCAATTTAATTTATCAAAACATGTTCTGGTACGAGCTCATGAAACATGAGGATTTACTGCTTTTCTTTGTTTTATAACATTGTGAATTGAATATCTTCAAACTGGCAATTTATATAAAAGTAATCATTAGCTATGACCATGTATTGCACTTTTTCACAGCTTGGTGGTAGAACCATGACCTTTGACTGTTGTGGGTGTAGCTGCTCTGTTCAACCACAGTCCTGTAATGTGGTCGGTGTGAGCCACTGAGGAGCCGGAGCAGTTTGGAGCCAGTGTCTAGCTCAAGCTGACCTACTCTCTTCACTTTCTACGCTCCCATTTCCCCCCGATGTTTGGGTTAGGGGTTAGACAAGAGCTGCATAATTTTGTCTCTTTCCCCCCCTTCATTCTTCTTCATCCATCCCCCCCACTCTCCTTGGCCTTGATATCAAATAAAGATGAAGGTGTCGCTCTAATCGACATTGTTGCCAATGAATCATTTAGCAGTGTTAGTCTAACATCCCAGATTCCAGGTCAGTGCGTCTCACTACACAGCCCGCTGCCAGCAGGGTTTAGCCTGGTTCGGCCTGCCTGCTGTAGACTGGCATCACTGTGTCTCTGCTGCTGCTGCTGCTGTTGCCAACCAGCAAACGGCCGTCCCTCAGGCACCGGGGCCCCGATGTGTGGAGGCATGTCCCCGCTGGAGCAGAGAAATGCTGCGGGAGGAGGGGGAGATGTTTTTGAGAACAGCATACATTTACCCCTTAGCTTGGTGTGGGGGAGAGTAATGCTTTTGTACAAATCTGATCTCCAGTTTTTTGGTTTCATACACCAGGAAAGTTCAAATCTGTGGCTGTGATTCCAGTTTTCATTTTCTGTGAATATGTTTTACTCAATATTGTTTTTTTGGTCTTTGGTTTATCACACTTGTTATGAAGCTCTTTATATTCTAGTTTGTAGGCTTTTGTTAAAATGTGACTTGTGTTTGTTTTGTTTTGGTTTATGTTAGTCTCATGTGCCGCCCATCTCAGATAGAATTCTCTGTTTATTTCTCTCAGTATGTCTGTGACGTTTCCCTGGCATTTCATCCTCGTACCTCTGGCTAAATTTAAACAAATTGTTGTTTGTAAAGAAAAAAATGGGCAAATAAGTGATCAAATAATGTACAAAGCGTAGGCGTATAACAATACCTTTTTAGTCTGTGGAAAAAAATATTTGTGCTATGTTGTATTGTTTTGTTTGGAGTAATTGTTTTTTTCCTTGTTTGTTTTTTCTTTTTCTTTTTTCTTTGTTGTGTAATTATTTATTCAGTTTCATTTTTTGATGTGATAAATTCATACATACATTTTATGACAGACTGTCAGACTGTTCTGAAGGTAAGGAGACACTGTATTTTAAAGGCTTCAGTTGCATACTCTGCTGTGCATTGTATCTGTGTTATTATCAAAATAGGGTGCGCCTTTTAAAAATTACCCCAATGACTAAGAAGACAGAGCTATAATCTATAGATAGATATGTCACACGCTCATATTTATGTAACTTTGCCTTGTAGCATCTGTTCTACATAGAGTTTCCTGCGTAGGCAAAACAGTATTTTGTGAAAGGTAATATACAAATAAAAACTAAATTTATTCCTGCATACTCATGAATGTATTTTATAACTTCGTACCTGCACAAGCTTGATTTGCATGCATAATTTAATGTAAAGTATATAACCCATGCAGTGTTTTTTAACAGGCTGAACATTCACAAGACTGCAAGATAAAACAAAACAACCAACCTGAAGCAACCAGATCATGAAATTATGTTTTTATTAGAGCTCCATCCCTGCCTCTTATTGCATCAGTGTGTGTTTGTCTGTGTGTGTGTGTGTGTGTGTGTGTGTGTGTGTACATGTGTGTGTGAAAGTTTCTGTCTCAGAGCATGATAATGCTTGTATGTTTCATAAGTTTTATTACTGTTATGGATACAATTACTTTGTATTTTTAAGTCTGTGTGTTTGTGTCCATGGTGCTGAAGTAGCTATGTGTGTGTGTGTGTGTGTGTGTGTGTGTGTGTGTGTGTGTGTGTTTGTAAGTGCGCTGCAGTGTAAAAGCAGCAGCCAGTAAAAGTAGGTCAGGAGAGAAGGGCTCCCTAGAAGACGATGTGAACTCGTCACCTTGAATCGCGTTACAGGCTGTTGAGGGAAGAGAGAGAGAGAGAGACAGATGAAAGGAAGAGGGGGAGGAGGAAGAGAAGAGAGGTCCAGAAAGGACAGGAAAAGAGAGAGAGAGAGTGAGAGACTGAGGAGGAGGTGCAGAGTACGGTGCAATGAAGAGGACAAACAAGAAAAATGAATGGGAGGTGAAAAAGGAGTAAAAATAAGTCGTCCTGACTGTCACGTGTGCATGTGTCCCCAGTGGCTCCATTTAGTTTGGACATGTCCTCATGTATAATAGTTTATGTACTGTTACTAAAAGAAAAACACCTCAACACTACGTCCACAAGATGTAATTCTTGGACGTCTGCTAAATCTTCTTACTGAAGCCACAATTAAAATGTATTTCATGTTTTATTGCTGGATGTTTTACTGTACTTAAGTGATAAAATTGGGTAAACATCCTTTAAAAGCATCCTGTTTTTGTGTTGCGTGTTTTGTAAGTGTTTACAGTTTACACCAAAATACATTGTACGTTTTTCCTAAATGTGTTAAATGCATTGCCTTGGATTTTTTTTTGTTCAATCCTGCACTGTTAAGATGAATGTTTGTTAGCTAGTATATTTTCCTCCAGCTTTCAGTCAGTGAAATAGCATGAAACTATCAGCAGGAATGTTTATTTTATCACCTGAAGGCAGCCTACAGGTCATGCAATGTTTATGTGCGCAAACACAAACAAAACATGGACCCGCTCATTACAATATTCCTCCATCGCCACAAGTGATGTTTGTGATATTCATACTTAATCAGATGACCCTATGTAATGGGAAAGCAGTCTTTCAGAACAAAGCACAAATAAGGAAGATGGTAAAATAAAAGAATGTATGATCATAACTTCATATCTTTAAAACCCTCCATAGACCATGACAGCACTGAGGACACATGCATAAGGAGAGGATACAGATGGAGGGATGAGTGAGAAAACGAGGGGCTCATCTGATCTCAAACAAAAACACACTGAGGGATATGTTTGAACTTTTCAAATGTCCCATGTAAATAGCGTGTAACAGCAGTCACTCGGTCTCTGTGCACGGCTGACTTGTTTTTGTTCATTTGGCTATCTATGAACATGGTAAATCAATTAACAGGAAGGTCACTGGGTAATGGACATGCTATGTACAGGAGAGCTGAGACACTGCAGCTGTCCTCAGTGGACAGATATAGAAAAAAAAAAAACACGCCAAAACTTTTAGGATCCTGTGTGATTCAGCTGGTGATCAACAGAGCCATGCCACCACATATACAGCTGTATGGTACAAAGGAGCTGTATGTAAGAACGGGCCACCTGTCGAATTCATACTCAGGAAAACAAATCTTGGGGGCAGCATATCACCAGAAAGTTGGGGAGTCCACCTCTATCGTAGGATACGAGGAAATGTACAGGCTCCATCTGTAACAAACAGCTAACAAATGAGTTACCTTTATAAGCTATTGCTGTAGAATTAACTGCGTTTTACTTACCAGTCCAGAAATGTTGTGAGTTCAACATCAAACTTTAGCCTATTACTTACCGAGAGCTGTCTCCAGCGGTGGAAAGCCACACCAATGTTAACTCTTGTTTTGGTTTTATTTCTGTCACTTCTTTCTTTGCCACTGAACATTGTTTCTTGCCATTGGGAAAGTGCCATTTTCTCATCGTCAAATGTTGGACAGAGGGAAGACTGGACGCTACATGGACTCACTCTCATTTCTTTAGGTACATAAATGGCTGGGGCTGCTGGTTGGTCATGTAAACTGTTATTATTTCAATTGGTTGGACTTTTGAATTTGAATGTTTTAATTAAAATTCTGCATAATCTCCTTTAAAAATATGTTTAAGTACATTCCTGATCGGACCTGTGTGTGTGTGTGTGTGTGTGTGTGTGTGTGTGTGTATGTAGGTGAACAGCAACAAGGAAAGGAGTTCTTTGATGGTTTAACTGGAAACCGTGCTGAAACTGTGAAAACAGTAGTATATTGGATAAAAACACAACAGATTCATTACAGTGATTACAAAAAAAGGAACATATGAGATATCATAAACATTAGTACTGTAAAAAGTAAGAAAACTGAATTCTCAAAAGATTAACTGCAGTTGTTTCTTGTGGCAAGAAGAAACAAGTACATGCTCCGACATAGGATAAATCTTCAGATGGTTGTGCTATACTTTAAGAAACCAACTAATTAAGGTGTTTAACTCCTCTGTTGTTAGTCCGCTGTCAGCCAATAAAAAAATGGGTTGGCTGTGGTTCAGGAGGCAGAGTGGGTGGTTCCTTAACCACAGGGTTGGTGGTCAATACCTGGCTCCACTTTCCCATGTCCCTGAGCGAGACCCCAATTTATCCCGAAGGCTAGGCCAACCTTTACTGACAGCTATGTGGCCATCACTGTGAGTGAGTGTGTTTGTTGGACATTGTAAATTCAGACACATAATTCCAAGTGCATCACCAAAATTCCCTATTATCCTTTTAAGTCCAATCTGAGGAAAACAAATGCAGGACATAACTACTGTCTACTGTTACCATGGTGATGTTTAGACTGTGTGGCTTAGTTTCACATAGAAGTCATCACAATTTCAAGGCTTAACTGAATTAAACGACTCTACACATGGAAACTCAGGGAGGGCTTCTCTCCTCTGGGTTTAGAAATCCTGGATTAGTGAGGCTAATGAAGAGAGCTAAACCCATTCAACCTGCTCATTCGTGAAACGTGATCAAGTCAAATTTAGTGAAGTTTAGAGAAAAGAAAGGTGGGAATGAAGAGAGATAGAAGGAGAAGGAGGGATGATAAAAAAGGAAGAGAAGTGAACAGGGAATTCTTCCTGTGCAGTGGGAAAGAGACAAACACACTCCTGTCACGACACGTCACAACTCAAAACCCATCAGAGGTACAAACCTGACCTGGATGTCTTTGGACGGTGGGAAATAATTGAGTGTTGAGATGAAACATGAGGAGATTGTTTCTGGATATGTCTCTTGTTTGCATGGGGATATGGGTTAGGAAGCCATTAATCCACATTATGGACATTTCCTAAATAACTAACTTAATAACATCAATATGAGACATGAAGATAAGATGTCAACAGGCACTGTGTCGTGTCCAATATGTAAAAATGTGATGGGTTCAAAAATGAAGACTAAGACTTTTTACATTTCAACTTTTGCTTGACATTTAGATGAGCAGTGCGTATTAAAATCAACTCATTCTTACTAAATAACCTGAATACAAAAGAGTTCCAAATGTTTGGGCAAGAAAATCCAGTCAAAAAATGAAAACAGAATAAAATTACATAAATAACATAACATATAATTACCAAAACATGTGTAGTGTATTTAGCCCCAGTTATTGATTTTATAGAAGTAAAGGTGAGTTCAGGCAAAAGATGTCAACGCTCATTGATCTTAAGTTCTGAGCCATGATGACATCGTGTGATGAAACTGTCTGATCCTCGTTCCTCTGACAAGATTAGATTTTCACTTCAGAGATGTTTCAAACTCAAGGATGTATTAAGGGGAAGTGGATACAGCGCTGGAGGAGGCGCTTCGATCATTCTTATTACAGCTACCCAGTTGTGCATGAGGTCAAAAAAGGCCACTTCCCACTGTAAAGAAATTACCTGGATGAAGAAAAATCCAACTAACTTTTGGTTTAGCCTCTGCTAACTTGAGTTGGAGATAAAATGATTTAATTGTGCGGCTCTTCTAGATTTTCCAAAAGTTATCAGACTGAATAGATCAGATTCTGATAGTGAAATTTGTCATTTTGGGAAGAATGTGATGCTAAAAATGTTTTTACCACCATTGTACAGCTGCTTCTTTCACAATGTCCGCTTACGGGGAAAAGTAGCTGTAACTGAGGCCGGTGCTCTTCCTGGGGGCTTGTTCAAAATGCTTATAAACAGGAATATAATGCACATATCAGCATGTATTTGGTCAAAGTCAAGACAAAGGTAGTTAAACATGTGGGTACAATAATATTTCATGTGTCCATACTTATAACCAAGGATCACAAACAAGATGAAAACGAAACACAAACAATACACAATAGTAAATAAGACTTATGTAGCCATCAGTGGAAAGACAGAGATGAGCTCTTCTGCTGCTTTGTCTCTAAGCCCTACATGCAATCATTGTGTTGTGGCAAGCTGGAACAGAAAATGACAGTAATTCCAGTAATGAGAGTGAAATAGCAGGATGGGAGACAGAGGCTTAGCTGTTTGAAAACTCAGGCTGCAAAAAAAAAAAAAAAAAAAATCAGTGTGAAAGATGAGAGGAAGGCAGGACAGAAAGAAGAAAAGAAAGTCAGAAAGAAAGAAAGAAAAAATATGTCCAGTGCTGGTGAGAAGTTGTCAAACAAGATCTAAAATGATTTGTGTTTTCCTGACCAGGACGTTTCAGGTCTGGACTCTCTGAGCAGACATGAAAGACGTGTCTGAATGCTTTTATCAAATCACATGACAAGGTTTTCTCAACTGAGAAGCTCAAGCAGGGAGAGTTGTGTTCGACGCAAATTCCTCCTTAAATTTTAAACTTTAATGTGAACAAATGCATGCAGTGAGCTTACTGGTGACAAACCCATTAGATGTTGTGTCAAAAAGTCCCTTAAATGGAAAGACTGTAGAATACTAGACATAACTTCCAAGTAACAAAGATGGAAGTATACCTTAATGGGGATATACTCAACAGGAACCTTTGTTCATCTTCCGTCTGCAACAACATTCACTGTTAGTTCTTAATTTTAATGAAGCCGATCTTGCCCAAACCTTTACCATACCATATATCCCAGGTATTCCAGGTTTTACTCAGTACCGCCTTATGGCCCACCTATTTGACCTCCGTTTGTCGGAGCCAGCAGAGGTGATGAACAGCAAGTTGAGCTGCTTCTCTCATTAGCAGCACAGTTTCAACTCGTCTGTAGCAGGAAACAATGGCGTCTCGTCTGGTAAAACACAACCTTTTTTTGGTTGTATACTTTAAAAATCGAACCATCTGTAGCAAGTTTCTCCAATGTTACCTACCCTAGCTTGAAGGGTACTCCAGTAACCCAGTTGAGAAAGCACTACCTCAGGAGAAGATATGTTTTGGATTGCAGCTCCGTTCCTGCTATCAAAATTCTGGTAAAACTCCTCTGTGCCTAACACAATTGCTTGAAAAGGTTATTGAGGTGGCCTGAAGGAACACCTTTGTACGGCGTTTACTTGCAGAAAACATCCACACATTCTGTGTCTGAACACAGTACTTCCTTGGTGGACACAGTTCAGGCATTCAACACTAATTTCTTTTCCTCCAGTAAAGGAAGCACTGAGAGTCATCAGAATCAAGAGGACAGATTCTGTTACTCCCCATTAACGATACTGTGTATGTGTGAGCACTAATTAGCCTCCATTACCTTGGATAAGAGCAGCAGAGAG